GGGGGATCGGCGTCATAATATTGATCGTCAACAAGCCTGCCTCCTCAAAGATTCCAGACCCCCTAGCGGCCCGAACCACCCTTTCTCGGCCGGCAAAAGTCTGTGCCCACCCCTCCTTTGCCAAGCAAAAACTCATGTTGTTTGCTGTCATGAGTCGTCCAACCCGCTTCGCCGTGGCCCCGAGGCTCCGACAAGACCCCGCCTACGCGCCGGTCCAGACCGTGATGGACCATCAGCCCGGAGCCGGGATCCCGGACCAGGAGATTGGCGCCACAGTCTGGAGCTGGTCGCTATTATTATATCAGCCCGATGCCCTCTCTCCCTCGCCCCCCCTCACTTTCAAGAACCTCGATACGGCCTCTGTTGTAACTTGTGATCCCAAGGGGGAAAAGGTGCATGCCATAGTGCCGCCTCGTGGTGCTGATTCTTCTCAATCCACAAACTCTTGACCAAAACATTCTTCATCCAGCACTTCTTGCAAGGCACGCACTCGTCAGGCATCATGGCAGGCAGTTGGGTCAATGTGTGCGACTTCCAGCACTCTTGGCATGCAAAAAAAGAAATGGTAAGATGACGTTGACGGCGCCTATATATACTGCGGCTTCCTTTTTTTTTCTTTTTGAATTAAGTTGACATGTTCCACAGGTTTTGTATACAAAATCGCTTCCTATGTGAATGCCCTCGTGCCCTTGCACAGCTTCATCTAAAAATGGCCTTCATTACCAAGAGACCGCGAGGATATCATTAATTCAAAATAGTCCCCGTATCCAAACGCGTCCCCAGCACACCCGCCTGAAACTTTTGGTTTTTGAAAACGACATGCAAATTCCGCCGTCTCGCATTACGTCTCCTCTTCGAAGAGCACCTCCATCCGAGACCAATACTTGGGACGCCACATGCGACCGATCGAATTGGAATATCTGGAGGAGCAAATTAATCGTTGCTCCATCAATGAGCAAAACTGCTTTTTAGAATTAGGCTCCGGTATATGGCAATCGAACCGAATGAATCTCGTCACCAAAGGAGAGAGAATTAGACTCTCCATTTCGCCGAAATAAAAAAAATAATAATAAGAGTCTTGGCCTTGCCCTCAACCATAGTTGGCTTGGGAAATGTTGAGTCTCTGGCGCTTCTCAGGTGGGCTGTCGTGATCCGTGGTTGGGAAGTTGGAACGGCCTATACTGTATTGATTCCCCCCATTTATCATGCCATTCCACTGGTCGACATTGCTTGGACCCATATGACTTGGGGACCAGCCAGAGCTATTGCCTCCAGGCGGCGTGCTCGACTCAAACTTGAGCGATGGGGGAGCGGCAGCCACATAGGAAACGTTGCTCATCATAAACCCAGCTTCCGACTGCTCTGGGGGATCCTTGAGGAGATGAGCCAAATGCGTCCGGACTGATTTGAGCATTCCTTCTTTAGTGAAAGGCTTTGCTAATACTTCGTTCATGCCTTCACGTGGCGTCGTTAGTCTACGTACCCAGGACACACAGAGTTTCTCATTGGGTCTCGGGTCGTTGCGGGGGGGTTCTTACCATGCTCAAAGTATCCGTTAACCTCATCAGGCCTGATATTCGAAGTCATCGCAATAATGGGAGTCGTGGGGCAATGTCGGCGAATGTACATGGTTGCCGAAACACCATCGAGCCGAGGCATAATAATGTCCATGAACATCAAGTCGAAATGATCCCGGCCTAAATTGCTGACGCGGGTGTAGGCATCAGCGCCATTCAGCTGTGACGAATTAGCATCGGCAGTTCTATGCACGCGATACTCAGAAATCGTCCCAACGTCACTAGGGAGCTCTTTTGGTTTACAAAACTTACAGCATGCTCGACCTCGCATCCCATCGAATTCAAAAACTTGATGCCGATCTTGGCGCAAGTCTGATCATCTTCGACGAGAAGGACCTGCGGCTTTTTTGGACCCCACATGGGTGTTGCTCGATCCGTGCCCAGCCCAGTTGTTACCGGAACGTTGGAGATGGGTGCAGGAGCTGAAATGGTTGCCTCACTCGACAAAGCGGTGCTCGGGGTGCCTTCATTGGGAATCGCGAATGGAATCTTGTGAATATGGTCAGGTTGAAACGGATCAATACCGACGGTCTGCCCCACAGGGTAGACGGGATACCGACTAAGGTCCGTCATGGGGTCGTGCATGAGAGGCATGGTGACGGGCGTGATCAGAGCCGCAGATTCAGATGGAGCGGCGTATATGCCACGAAGGCGCTCGAGTTCTCGGTCGGATACGGCGTCGGGAGCCACACTAGAAAGAAGTTCTCGCGCTCTGCGCAGTTCCGGCACGCCATCTTCGACATCGTTGGAGCCATTTGAATTCATCGACTGTCCCATGATGCCTCGACTTCTCCCATCGTAGGGAGAAAGATAATTGAGCATCTCGTACTGTGCCTGTTTCTGGGCATTGACCATCTTTTGTAAAGTCATGACCTCATTCACCAGCAGCCGGTTGGCCTGGGAAACCTCGGCATACAACTCCTGCAGTTGCTGAACCTGCTGCTGCGTCGCGGTTAGTTGTTCCGTTACGACACTGACATGCTGGCTTGTGGTAAAGTCCTCGGTGACTTGGGGCTTCCTGGGGGCGGGGGCTTTCCGCCGAATGTTGTCAAGGCCATCCTTGCTGTCGGCGCGAAAGTAGGGGTGTTTGAACTCCAATACCTGTAAGCGCAAACGAAGTTAGTCTTGAGTATCCCGTGCTCGATGTACAGTCCAATGCGCCTTCATACATTTCCGCCCGGGTTGGACGACTCGCTGTCGCTTGACGGTTTTACTTTGTGAAAATCGTATTTGTTCAATTGCCGAATAAAACTGGACATGTTGCTGTGCTTGAAGTGTTTAGGAAGAATAGATCGGGTAAACTTCTCGCCCTATGCCGGGATAGAAATACTGTCAGTCTCGAAACGCATCTTGGGCCACTCGTGTTGAAAGACGATTGACGAGACATGTGTCGCACCTCTACCACGACGAATGAATCGCCGTCTTTCCCCCATCGGGCTACATCTTGATGTGACGGGTCCTCCAACATGCTGTGAGAGTTGTGATCAGCACCATCGGCCATTTAGCTCGAGCGGGGGAGGGGAAGGTCATGGATGGATAATACCGGAAGAGTTTGCGAACCTGTTTCGAGGGAACAGTGAGTTAACCAATGAAGAAATTCACATTTTGAACACAAGCATTGGGTAACAGAAAAAACGTACGAATTCACTGGAATTGTTGCTGCCGCCGGTGGCAGCGGGTACCTCGCTTCCCGACATTGTCGGGTTGGGAGAAGATGATTGCGCCGGACCGAAGCCCAAAGGTTCGTCACCGGTGGCGAGCGTTTGTGTACGCGCTCGGAGGCCGGACGGGAAGACTTGCGATATCCGTCTCGTTTTGCCTAGCAAAGGCAGCCCGCGGGAGGGAATGGCAGAGGAGAGGTATACTCGGCTTCTGTCGGCGATGGTATGTCTGCACCTGGACGTAATCGGGGAAGGGTTTCCGGTACAAGCTCCACAGTGAGAAGTCGTCGGCGTCAGAAGCTCGGGGGGAGCGCAAGGTCGGTCGCCGACGGCCTGGGCAGTATAGGGTCGTAGCTTGGCAAGAAAATTGGGAATTGGCGATGGTGAGGCGAAGGGTCTGGGGGACAGACGGGAGAGTCGACGACGGATGAAGAAAGTGAGATTGTGGATTTGAACGAGTTGCCCAGGTTGTGGAAAAGGACCATTCGACTAACGGATGGATGACAGCTGGGGGGGCGCCTGGCAAGTACAAGAGGTGGGCCGGGGTACACACCAGACTGTAGGCCACTGAGAAACGAGGGCACTTGAGGAGCCAGGACTAGAGGACTGAAATTGCCAGGGGGAAGTCGAGGTCAGGTCTTTGGGTCGACGGTACGCGAAGAGAGCACAAGTATACGGAGTAACCGGTGCTGTGAATAATGCAACGATATCTAGAGTGCAGCTTGAAAAAAAAATTAATTTACGGGCTGACAAGACAAAATGTCTGTCGAACCTGGTTCTCCAAGTGATAGTAAAATCCGAATGCACGACTGTGGTGGCGACAAGGACCAGCTGGGGCTGGCGGCGGGCGCACCGGGCCAGAGGCACCGGAGCCGGCAAGGATCAATCGATAACGTACTGGGTATCAAATGGACATGGAGGACAGACGTGGTGGGCTTCGTTTCAATGTCGCCCAGCGCTGAGTCTACCCAAATGCATCATTCTCAATGTTTGTCTGACCTACGGGGCGTTGCTCGAGAGAAGTCAAGTCGGGTGACCAAGTGTGCGCAACATTTCACATACCAAGGCAGGTACCTGAGGTACTAGGATCCAAGTAGTGTCAAGCCAAGCTGCTCGGCTGGTAAGTATTGCAGTGCAGCCCTCGAGCAATAGGTGGAAGTATGCGCGGGACCTGTGGCATCGCCAGCCTCAAGTTGCGAAAAAAGATGGCGTGCCAATCAATGTCCAGGGTTGGCCATCTCGATCTCGTCCGTCCAGTCGGCCACCAAACTCGTCGACTCCAGAGCTTGGCGCTCAAATGTTGATGTGCAGAACATTCAATTCGAGCGGAAGTACTTCCCCTAGCACCCGCGCTACCGTCGCGAGCAGACGCACCTACGTCCCCCACGGTACCAAGGGAGGCAGTACTTTGTACTTTGAGCATGCGGATTGAACTTTGAACAAAGGGCCCCAAGTATACATGCGACGCAGATGACGACGTAGACACGAGATTCCGACACGCTGCCAAGAACATCAATGATCCCATACCTACTTTAGCAGGTAGCCATTAACGTTCTGAACGGCTGAAATTTGAAAAAAAAAAAAAAAACAAAAAAAAAACACGCAAATTCGTCTAGATGACAGTGTGATGCACCCGTGGTGGCGTCAAAGGTAGTAGATCCGAGGCCATCGGGTGTCACCACCAGCCTTGGCTAGCCGAGCAATACGCCTGCCCCAGATCTATTATACGGCATTGACAAGGGAAAGAGGAGTCGGGCAAAGAGGAGGGGGAGGGGCGTGGGCCACGGGCATGGTCGCAAAGGGCTGCCGTGGACATTTTCAATGCCGAGTCTGGTAGAAGATTGAGTCAATGGGTTGCATGGTGGGGTGGACGCATCAGCAATGGCAAATGGCAACATGGCAAAAGGCCATGTTAGGTAGCCATTAACGTTCTGAACGGATGAAATTTGAAAAAAAAAAAAAACAAAAAAAAAACACGCAAATTCGTCTAGATGACAGTGTGATGCACCCGTGGTGGCGTCAAAGGTAGTAGATCCGAGGCCATCGGGTGTCACCACCAGCCTTGGCTAGCCGAGCAATACGCCTGCCCCAGATCTATTATACGGCATTGACAAGGGAAAGAGGAGTCGGGCAAAGAGGAGGGGGAGGGGCGTGGGCCACGGGCATGGTCGCAAAGGGCTGCCGTGGACATTTTCAATGCCGAGTCTGGTAGAAGATTGAGTCAATGGGTTGCATGGTGGGGTGGACGCATCAGCAATGGCAAATGGCAACATGGCAAAAGGCCATGTTTTTGAACTCTGAGAGAATCAAACATGTTGGCATGCCTTGCCTCTCAGCGTCGCTGGTTGGCCAAGGCCAGAAGCTGCTTCTGCTTCTGCTTCTCTGCATGCTGCACCTAATACGTGCCCTGCAGCAACCAGACTGCAGCACCAGACTCCCGTCGAGCACCTGCGCCCGCACGCTCGAGCTGCGCGGTTGGCCGACGGGGTGGCGGCACTGTTGTTGGCTGGCGCCCATGTCGAGACGGACGTCCAAATTCAGTCCTGGTAAAATGCGCGGCAGGAGTAATAATATGTGCAGAGTCGATAGTACCAAGTAAACTACCCCTGTGGTGAAATCTACAAAAGCCTAAAATCCCTGTCCCCGTCTAGATGGGCCCATGTAAGCAAGCTCCTCGGACGCTGGGAGATGGAGTTGGGAAATCGAAAAGGGAGCGAGCACTTGGCTCCGTACGGTGGTGGTGGTTGTACCGCTTCGAGGACCCGCCAGCCAGCCATGTCTCTTGTCTTAATTTTTAAGATGGCCGCCTGGTGTATTTTGGCCCACTAGTCCGGGAACGTAGGACGCCAGATGCCCTTGTTCGGACGTGATGCGACAACTATGATGAAGACTTGAACAACAACTGGAGCTGCGCAGCGCAAAACCGGGGCATTGAGTGTGCGTGGCGTCTCAGCCAGGAAGCAAAATTCTCCTAGCCTCGATCCCGACGTTGCCGGATTTCTCACATTTGACAGATTTCAACCACGGTCAAACAAGGCCAGCGGGTGGTCGAATACGTATGCCCACAAGCTGCAGTTGCGTATAATTCACACTTGGTTGGTGGATGGAGAGACCAAAACATCCACCAGATGCCACCAGAAATCGGGACACCAGACTGCTCACTTCGCCCTCCGTCCCTGTTGTTCTCACGTGGCCGTGACGAATCATGCAGTTGAGCATCGTGAGACCAGTTGCTGTCGTGCATTGTTCGCCTACTTGTCGCTCTGGTTTGGCCTTGCGACTAGTGGCATCTGGTGCCCGTGCCCCATTTCCACCCCGTCTCCAGCCTCCAAATTTGCTCTTTTTTTGCACCTGCTGTCTTTCAATGTTCCTTCCCTTTCCGGAGTGGCCGTTGCACCGTCGGACGTTTTCTCCATCCAGCAGCAGCTCCAGAGACCGTGTGGCGCATTCTGCCGCGCACAGTGGGGCCCCTCGGTTCTTTTTTCCTCGTCAGTGTGCGAGTGCGGTTGTGTGAAGAAGGTCGACAAGTAGATGCTGATGCTGACTGGATGCTAATATCGGTCGACCTGGCATGAACCAGTTGAGCCAGGTGCTTCTGTCCATCGCAGCTGACATGCTCGCCAATGAATCATGCTGGCACGTCGAGCCGAGAGACACCTTTGCGCACTTTCCGCTCCCGCGGCTGCGAGTTTGTTACACACTGCAGGCTGCAATCCAACATGCAATCACACGCAACACGCAACGCGCTGGCTTGGTTGACCAGGACCTAAAATATACTTCCAGAGTCACCATGGCGGCGGGTCCCCGATTTCCAAGATTGGCTCCGATACTCTTGGGACCTCCTGATGTGCCCGCGGATCGAGCGACCAGCAGATCCCCAGTCTTTTTTTTTTTTTTTTTTTTTTCCTCTTAAGAAAAGGTGAAAGTAAACGAGATGGGGGGTCGAAACTCTCGCTCCATACTGGAAAAGCGTCGACATGGGCCCAGGAAACAAAACAACCATGTTTTAGCTCGGCCACAACGTCGGCAACTCCACCATGGTTCACCACCCTCGTCACCTGTGTCATGCCTTCGTGCTGTAATAGCCCGTTATCCATTTTTGCATGCCGTCGACGACCCTGCCGCCGTCCGCGTGGTCTAGGCCCGGGCCCCTCCTTCTCTGTTCGCTCCTAGGCTGGTCCAGCTGAGTCCGCCCTCAACACCAATATCCTTCATGTCACGATGCTGCTAAGCACACGCCCCGAGATATTTCGACGTCTCGTTCGTAGAGCCATCTGCAACAGGACCCAGTCCGTCATACGTACCACTAGTAAACTTGTCACACCTGCACCCCAGAGCAATGCTCGGGACACGCCACATGCCGAAAACCAACAGCGCCCACGACCTGAGCCGACAAGCCTTTCTCGCCATGGGCTTGTTCTATTCAAACTTCTCCAGGTTGACGCCGTAGACGCGTCTGCTAAATTTTCCGGTTGAAGCAGTTCTCCGTTAGCTGTGCTGGTGTTGGAAACCCCTTGAAACCCCTTTAGACTCAACGCGCCAAGACAGACCGTTGTATGTATTCGGTGGCGGCGTGCGCCTTGCGCTACGTGAAACCACATTGGGGGCATCTTCAGCCTTCGGGTGTCCGGGATTGAGAATCAATACGCGGCTCTCCGGCTCAGCCTACCGCGACGCATATGCACAATGTCCAATGATGCCTTGCGCCAGTGTTTGATGGCTTCTTTGTCGTGTTCTTTACCCCTTTCGGCTGCATCATGTACACCCGAGACTCACCCTCGGCAGCTCCCGCTAATGATTGATACTCTCCGTTGCTGCCGAAGTTAAGAGACTCTCGGATTCATAGTCCGCAACCACACTCGAACCGTTCCAAGTCTCGTCCAATGTGCTCACTCGTGCCAAGGAACTGAACCTCTTGTTGACTTTGCTACCGATCCGCCAGAACTAATATACCTTTCACAGCCGTTTAAATAAGCATCACGGAATGGCGAGTGGACAGGCGAGTGGAAAGAAGCACGGGCTGGGCGGAGCAAAACCATGACGATGTGGCTAGCTATGGGTGCAGTTGATTGCCAACATGGGTACCAATGCAACGAGCAAGACACTTCGTTGTCCGGAGACGACTTGAGGTATTCTTTAACAAATAGGGCACTGCCATGGACCATGATGCTTAAAATGACATTGGTTTCTCCCGGCGGAGGATGGGGGTTGCAACATGGACAGGCGGTGGGTTCCGCCAACAGTCACTTCGACACAACCTGTTCTCCAAAAAGGTCTCCTCGTTTCTCTATTTTATCGTTGTCTATATTGTGTGTTGTCAATTTTGTTGTGTCCTCACGCCAAGTTTACTAGCGTCTTACATATTCAACAAAGCACGTTGTTTTGGGCGTGACCTCCCTCATAGCTGTGACGATACAGTCCAATTCGATCTAGTTCAACAACAGGAAACAGGGTCCTAGGGGACGTGGCTCTCCAGGGGATCTTGGGTCGGGCTGCCAATTTTATTTCGCTTCACGAGGCGGCCAGCAAAGTGGGAGTCGCGGTCTTGGCGGACGAGGTCCAGGGCGCCGTAGAGGTCGAGGGATCCCTGCAGAAGTTCGAATATTCAGGCAAGTTCACTCTTCCTTTCGTCGCTACAGCTTTGACTGGCGGGAATCAATTGCAGCCAGGACAAATGTCGCACAGCCCGACTTGAGCGCAACTCGCCGTGAGAACAATGCTCTGCGGCCGCTGAGTGACGGAGGAGGTCGACTTGCTGCTTCAGTCAAAGGCCCATCTCCCATGCGCCATGGTTTCGGCACGCAGGGCAAGAGCATCGTCTTTGTGGACGAACCACCAGCGGCTTATGTCCAAGCCTGACCAGGCGTTTTCCTGTGTCGTAACAGCATCGAGGTTCTGTCAGCAAAGGCAAGAAGATATCTGCTGGGAGAAAAGCGAAACGGATCATTCAGATTTTCTTGACTGATCACTTGGCGTCGCAAACAGGCAAAGTCGCCAGCGATTTCAAGTCCAATCTCATCAATCAGTATTGTTGAGCTCGATATTGACAAAGGAGAATACAAAGTGCAATATCGATCTGAAGGCGAGGATGGATCACAATCAAATGCGGCACCATACCTTGTACGCATACAGTATGCCGGCGCCTTGACCGTCTGTGAGCCCACGAGAGAGCTTACATCGACTAGTCTCGGCGGCCTTTTTGGATCCGAACAAGAGATCCTCCAAGCCCTGAACATGTCGTGGGGTATCGTGCCAAGATTGATGCGTGCGTTGCCTCAATCAGAACGAGTCGGCACTTCGGCCTAAACTCCGATGACAAGATTAGTCGTGCAGGTGGCCTTTAAATTCTTCGAGGGCCACGTCGCGGATCTTATTCAACATTCAAGTCAGACGTGGTGCATTTCTACGACGACTGCCCTCTTGATATACTAGCAACGCAATTCGTGACGGTGAATAGTCACAACTTACGGAAACTAGCGGCCTTTCTCACAAATCCGTCTGTAAATGCCACTCATATGGTCAAGACAAACCGGCAAGGAGATGTCATCAAGCGGATCAAAATGATTTTTCCTTTGTGATGCCGTCGTGTGAGCTAGGGATATGTAATATCGTGAGACGCGCCCGGGTTTTGCTCTGGGCTAAATTAGCACACTCCGTCGTTGATATCTTAACAACAACCCTTGTCTTTTTCCTACCATTGATCACAACTAGCATGGTCCTGACTCCTGATCAGTGACGTGCGGGGATCGCGGCCATTCCATGGCGGGCCGAGGCGAATGTGGGGTTTGTGTAGTGCTAGTTACATGGTTCGTCGCAGCGGCGCCAAGACGGGATAGTTTTGTGGGGCTACGGCGATGAAGTCGATCAACAACAAACTTTTATTGAGTGCACAACGTGGGTATTTGACGAACCAATCGTCCCACCTGATGATGAACAACAGACGGCGCGTATCTCGGCGAGCATAAGCCGCACACAATGTGACTGGAATTGGGCGGTGACACGACATTTGCTCTGAAGATCAGGCTACGGAATGAGTCGATTGAATGCAGGGGAATAACGTAGCCATTGATAGTCCCGGACGGGGGCCTGTTGGCGGGCGGTTCCGGCTGACATGGTAAATGCGGTCATCTTCTGCGGGAGCATGGTGGCGCATCCTTTACCAACCGGCTTTAGCATCCGCAAGGAGTCGGCCATTAGTGACCATGGAAGACTGGGAGATTTGTTTCGCATCTGCTTCCGACGTCAGGCTCAAGAAAGTCTGACCGTCTTGGCAACGCGGCCCCCATGGTGGGCTCTATACGTCTGGTGCAACACCCAAGGAGTGTCTGGAACATGGGCAGCAGGGGTTGTTTAGCGTCACGGCCTTGTCTATGGTGTCTCGATGGCGACGTGGTCAGCAAACTCCTCTATACCTAGCGCAAACACCATCATGGCAAGGTGGTCGATGAGCCCAGGGGACATGGCTATAAGTGGTGCAAGTTCCCGCGCCACGTCAAGGGCTTCGTTGGCGGCCCGGACAATGTCTGCCCCTTGGAATCGGAGCGGCGGTCCCCGTGGTCGAAGACCGCGGAGCTCCTGCAACGCGCCTCCGGGCCTGGCTTGCTGAAGGACCGCGGGAACGGCGCATCCAGCCGCGGCAAGGCCGCTGGAAAGACTGCGCTTCTTGCCATGACCGCCATCCTTGCAGCCCGACATGCCAATCATGTCTGATATACGTGTCGCTTCATTTTTATCCAGGTTGATGACGACGTCGCCAACCTTGTAGTCTTTGTCGTCTTTTGTGATGTGAGTTGTTGTATGTAGGTGGAGCGGGGCCACTACGCGGGTTGGCTTGATGGTGTTTGTGATATACGTACGGAGTACAGGGAGGGAAACGTACTTTGTTGGAGGAGCAGTTGGATCGGGTGTCGGCGTAATGACGACTATGGACGAGCCTTCAGCTGATATGGTCAATGGTCTTCCGCGGTCCAAACCGCCGGCCGAGCTGGCTGCTGCTTGAGGAATGTGTTGGTTTTCGTCCTCTAGCAATCGCCACTGCGCGTGAATGATGGAAGCAAGCCTCACGAAAATGCGCCTACCACGAGGAACGATCTGGATACCAGCCGGTAAAAGTCGCGCTTCGCAAGCCCATTGTCTACCGACATGTCTGCCGACCGCAAGACGCCGTGAAGCGCCTGGTAGCAAGCGTCTCCATGACCCTTGTCCTTGCAGGAATCACCGCCTAGGGTGTCCTGAAGCTTCTGTAATAAGTCGCCCGAAAAGACGGCATCAAAATCCTTGCCGTCTTGACCAGACACCCAAAGCGACACTCCTTCGAGGTCATGAGGGCCTCCCTGTTTAGAGTTAGTTGGAGTTGCTGTCTCCCGCTCAAAGTCACCTACATCGCTCCCGGCGTATGTATATCCTCATGTGCGGCACCGCCGTTGCGAACCTTTTTCGTTTGCGCATGTATGGTGCAACTACACACCAGTTTATTCCTCTCCAGACTTTCTTCTCAAGTCCGGACAGGAATATGCTTGTGCTATTTTTGGTCATTTCTCAGCTGTCGCTCCTTCTGCAGGCTGGGGGCGCATCTGCAGTCATCGCCAAGACAGAATCCAGCCGAGAGCCGCTGGGCTTCCGAGGGACTCTTGTCGATTTGGGGGCGGTTTGAGAAATATTGTACATGATGTTAGAAACCGTATTTGAAAGACCCGTATACGGACGCTTGGGGCAAGATGCAGGACGAAATTGGCAAAATCATGCCCAAATTCCAAGACAAAAACCGCTGGGAGATTGTTAAATATCCTCCTGCGCAAGATGAGGTCAGAAACGTCGAAATAGACGATCAAGGCAACAAAAGGTGCATTTTTGACCCTCTGGAGGACACGTATCGCGGCCGCATGCTCTGCAAGTTTGACCCGGACCACAATGGCAAGAGAAAGATTACGTTGTGGATCGAGAATAAGCAGTACCACGAGATACTGGGCATTATGAGTCGCCGCAAAAGTAGGAGTTCCTATAGCCAATGCAACAGAGAAGCTCATGAAAAAGTGAGGACCTGGCATAAACAACTGCGTGAACTTTTTATGGAAGGAGCCACCGGCTGCGCAGCCTGCAAAAACCTTGGACAGGGGTCTGGGTCTGGGTCCACCCGATTGACCTATAATTAGAGTGCGGAGCGCTGACACAGTTGCCCTGGCCGCAGTAAATGCTCAGCGTTAAAAAGGATGTGCTTCCGTGCAGGGGCAGTTCTTCTATGTTCCTTCCATCAATATAATATACTCGGCAGATGGCCGTCTTTCCTTCATTTGCACGGCTTCCAATCGAGCTACAACAGACAATATGGAATGCAGCGATACCAGCCCCATGCGCAACTGCGTACCTGGCCAAACTGACGATTTAAGCGCGGCACCGAAATGAAGACGGTTCCATCGGCACAAACAGCAAATGCCGAGCGCACCTTTACAACGCCGCGAAAAATGGTCCGGCAAAGAGCGAATTCACCAGCACGCTATCGTCACTCCTCCTCTGCTGCAAGGCTGCCTCCGACGTTGCCGCTGCTGCTTATCAACGCCGCAAAGCAGATTCGCCAATGTCTCTTCGCGGCTTGCGACATGAAATCGACGCCCGTCGCGACTTGCTCATGCCCCAGCAAGGCTGGCAGTCGCAATGCCACAGGCTGGCCACCTCGGTCAGATATATGGAACCTCAGAGGACTCTTCACAACCTGGCTGTCGTGTGGCCAGGGCCGGACACCCAAGAATTCTATGGCTTCAACGCCCTGATGAACCTCTTGTCCCTTTGGGAGAATTTGCACGCCCTTTACGTCGTAGTAGACCCCGGGTACCTGGAAGCGAAGCCTTGGAGACCCGATGAGGACCGATGCTGGGACAACGACCACGACGGCTGCCTTTCTACATTTCTAGATACCTGCAGACTTGATGAATCGCGACATGAGCCGAGTGTATTTTATCATGGAGATCGAGTGTGTTACGAAGTTGGTGTTGACGTGCTTGCCAAAGCCGGTGGCCTTGGGCAGGTGGCGGAGCTTCTGTTCGTTGCACAAAAGGAATTAAATGAGACATACCAAGATGAGGAGGAGGAGCCCGTAAAAGTGCATGATTCTATCATGGAAGCATATGTAACTATCATTCTAGAGTTTATAAGAGTCTGCAAATTATAAAGTACAGAGATTTAATTAATACTATGATAAGAATAAATAGCTTTTATTGAACAATTTAAACGTTTTTACTAACTTGTTTAAAAAAGAATTTTAAAAAAAAAGGAGGCTAGATAAAGGGCATCTAGTAGTAACACTATATTTTAGCCGTACCTAGGCTAGGGAACCGTAACTAACCACGCAAGATATATACTTTATAAAAGCTCTTTAAAATATAGCTTTTATAAGCTAGCGTCTCTAAAATACAAAGAGCGTTGGTACCGAGGCGATACAGTTCGTTCTTAAGCGTGGTATTTGTCGAATACAGTAACGTATTAGGTGGACACTGCGAGAGAAAGCCGATAGTTGGAAAAGCTATCGCCGCTCTAGCTTATTTATCACGTGTCCCAAGATAACATACGTACTCTGAAGAAATCAAAATGTGATCAAGCCGTTTCTGTAACTCCAGCCGTTGGAGCGCCC